AAATATCCAACAGTTAGTTGATAGTGTATACATGTGGTTTTATAATTTTGAATGATTTGATCAACACTCCTTAGTGAATGTCTGTCTCTAGAGGGAAGTAGCTGTTCCCGTAGGTGGCATGGCAAGACCAAGGCCCGAGACCCATTTACTTTTCATTTTTATGTCCCCAGACGACAAAAACAGAAGTTACTCGGACAACATAAGTAACTTTTGTCTGATTTTGATTAAATTTGGGTAGGAGGTGTAGGGTGGGATGAACATAAAAACGTGGATTTAGGGTCAACATCAGAAAAATTTAAATCTGCATAGTCTGCAGGTTAGCTGTAGCGGGGGTATTTCAGATATTTATGATGAAACAACAACAACTGTACCGGTTATAGATTATAGTACTGGTTGTCAGCTGAATAGTGAGTAAATATACCAAAATAACTAATTAAAGAAACTGTGATACAAATTTGGTTAAGTTGTCAGCTATGATTACTAACAGACCACTAAGGGCCCTTGCAGTGCAGTGTGGAGCTGTTTTAATGAGAAACCCTGCTTGAGTATTGTCAAAGGGGTCACTGCACAGTTGAATACAATGTTTACTTCATAAAACAGTGTTTTTGACTGTATGGATATATAATGCTTAACTAGAGATATACTGTTGACAAATAATAATAAAATATGTTTATAATGTGTCATTAGTACATTTAATAATATTTAAAAATTGGTTTTATTTTAACAATGAGTCTTAAATGGTTTAAAAATACTTGTGCCAACTTAATCTCCTTCACTATTGCACTTTATGTTCTAATTTAGGCCTGCCAATAAGTATTCAAAATGTATTAAGGCAATATATTTAGTATAACCAAACACCGATTATACTGGAAGATAAAAATTCTAAAACTAACTATGTGTATGTAGAAGTTATATAAATTGTAGGTTTTAAAAAAGGTTCAAAAGATTGTACCTAGTTTGAGTTAACTGTTATAAAAAACCCCCAAAGAATAGAGCATGTTACATGGCATAGTTTCCTTGAAAAGTGGAGTCTAAAATATATCGGGGAATAATATTACTCACAGTACTATCCAAAATACAAGAGATTTAAAGGGAACTCGCATGTTAATAGTTTAGTTATTCTATTACACGATTGGAAAAATGATTTATTGTTGTTTGGTGTTTTTATTTAAGATTTAATTACCTACGCCACAGCAAACCTGCCGTCTAAACGAATTTCCATTTGCCTTAAATGATTTTCAATTAATCTATTTAAATTAGGCTACCTTAGGTTTAACGAGTACCTAGGTTTTGCTGCTACAGTACAAGGAGATTAATAAAGTATGTTTTTGAGTAAAAAGAAAAAATATAGCTTAGTATAAATTCAATAAATTTGCCAAGTTTGATCAAAATATATCCATAAACACGCAAACTACAACATCTTACAATATTCTCCATAAGAATAACATGGGAATTTTAAATGTAAAATTTTGCGAGTTTTCTCCGTAGCGAATAACCGTACAAAAACACTTTGATATAAAGAATTATTTGTTTTTCAAGCTCATTAAGAAGGGGACAGGGAAATTGGGAAATTTTATGTTTCGGGTGACAAAAATTAGGAAAACAAAATATGTTTAAACCCCATAAAACCCCATTCCCATGGTCTGATCATGCTGGTTAGCGAACGCATTAAAGTTTATCTCGCCTTACACCTTCAAACCAAATTTCATCAAAATCGGACAAAAATTACCCTAAGTTATCGTGTTCACACTCACATATAATATACATATACATACATATTAATATACATACCGTACATATATATATACACATATGCAAATTTTAACGAATGTTGTTTTTGGCCTCTGGAGACATCAAAATGAAAAAGTAAATCCGTCCCGGGCCTAGGTCATAAAACCCCCATTCCCATGGTCTCATCATGCTGGTTAGCGAACTTATTCAAGTTTATCTCACCTTACACCTTCAAACCAAATTTCATCAAAATCGGACAAAAATTTCCCTAAGTTATCGTGTTTACACTCACATATATAATATACATATATACATATGCAAATTTGAATGAATGTTGTTTTTGGCCTCTGGGGACATCAAAAAGAAAAAGTAAATCTGTCCCGGGCCTAGGTCTTAAACCGTGCCACCTATGGTAATAGCTAGGTACTTCCCTAAAGTGAAATTCGCTAACACCAATGTACAACCCTCTAATAACGTCCACCCAACATTATAAATCACATTTTACAATTTTAAAGACAACGTAAGAGCTGAGCTGTGATGTTTGAAATTGAAAATTTGAATTTTTGAACTAGGCCTACAGTAAAAGAAACATAAAGGTTTTAAAAATCCAGTTCACCAAATTGACTTGACTGACAAGGATTGTGGAGATCCGATAATAGAACCCATATAATGTCTTAGGTTGAATAAACACAAATATGGATGATAAATGAAGCTACACAAATAAACTTGATACTAGGCTACATAACATAATTGATATTAAACCAGATTTACCCATCACAGACAATAAAACTTCAAGCATCACAGATCTTCAATAGTGTTGGGGTATGGTTTAAACAGAATGTTTTGTTGCTGCCCCTGATAGACAGCTTAGGGTTATTGACACAATTGTTACCGTAATCAAGTCGCTTGAAACACTTTTCAGCCTCTATCAAAGTTTTAAAATGCTACCGGTATCTACTGAATTCATGGTGTTATTCAATTTAAGACTACATAAGTACCGGTACCTAAATTTTTAGTAGTTTTTTTATAAATAAAAATACCGTTTTAAAACAAAATTCGGTGAGTTATTGTACAGTCTAGGGGGTGACAATCCAAACAAATCTGCTGCCCAGATGTGTACTGGTAGTGAGGCAGGAACACATGAACGCCGCACTTTGTTTTTTCAAAAATGCTATATTAGTACGATACCACAATGGAACCTGGTTTTTCGAGACGATGGAATTTACGAATACCAGTGTCTCTTCCCCATTGGGCTACCGGTATTTTGTAAAAGTCAATGTCATGTGCCATGCATATTGGAGTAGATGGTAAAAAGGTAGGCATTTGAATACAGTTATAAAATACAGATGGGCTCTACAATACAAAACTAAAGTATTTATAGAGTCTTAATATGTAGGCTAAAACCTCTGTTAAATGAGTTATTTACTTGTTGAACCATACTTAACAAAGAATCTAGTTTGATCTGTCAATTTCAAAATGATCATAGGGGTTCCCATGGGGGGATCCATGCCCCCCCCCCCCCCAGATAAAAAGAACTTTACAAACTTTTTAAGACAAATTTTTTAGATACCGTAAGTATGTTGTTAATGTTCTAAAACGATCATGCTGGCTCTCCAGAGAAGACAATTGTGATTTAACTAACTTATATAAAATTTTCTGTAGAGAAGGGCTTGTTCCTTTGACCCTGAGATCAAGATACCGACCACCCCCCTTCCCTCCCAAACACCATATAAATTCTGCAGGTAACCATGAAACAAATTAACTCAAGTCATGTCACAGTAACTCAATTATATAGTAGTATGTCAATTAACTCAAGTCACAGTAAAAGAATAACAGGACAGATAGTAAGCACTAATTAGCTATTCCTAACACAAAATATATATTAGGCTACCTATTGTCTTTTTATTGCTCTTGAGTCCTCATAGCACTGAGATAGGATTTGAAACCACAATCAACTTCAATCTAATGCCATTACTGTAACCTAAATAGGCTAGGTAACTTTCCTAGTTACTATAATAAGTTACCTAGATAAACTTAAAACCCTTTGTTGTCGAATGGGGAGTATAGGTCGCCGCCCGCCATTTTGCCGACTGCTCGAAAATGGCATAGCCTACTATAAGGACAAAAAAAATATAAAAAAGTTTATTTTTTTGGTCGAATGGCGAATATAGGTCACCGGTAGCCATTTTTCCGTCTGCTCGAATGGCAAAATATACTCTCCGAAAAATAGGGAAAAAATTCGACCTCAAAGGGTTAAAGATCCTAGTGCCAAACTGAAAACAATTTCAAATTCCACTGGGCAATATTAATTCTATTTTATATTGAGATTTTGAAGAATCAATATAGGCCTACATAACATTTTGATCCTACTGCCCGAGCCTGCCTAATTAGCTTCTTAACAGCATCTATCATTTTTCATTTGATCAGACAAGGACGTTAATTTCAGCCGTTCCAGTCTGTTGAAAAACCCAAATGGTAAATGTTAATTTTTTGGGGAACATCATACTTTCACTCAAGTGTTTACAGGCAAGGCCTACATTTGTAGGCCCAGTGAGGTAACAATTTATGACTTGGCATGTGGAATAATGGGCTCAAGTTATATCAGACAACGTTCTCGCCTATGTGTTATCTGGACCTAAAACTCAAAAAGCTATTTCCATCCATCAGACCCTAAATTATTTCTCTATACTGTTAATAGCATGGGTAGACTTCCGTATCTGTTGGCACAAACAACCGAATGAAAATATTGACTATTTGATTGTTTCATTCGATATATCTTTTGGTTAGTTCTAGGTTTGGTTTAACCTTACCTAACTAACCAAACAATATATTGAATGATCGATATATCGATCGATATTTTCATTCAGTTGTTTGTGCCAACAGATACGCAAGTCTACCAAATAGCATTTCAGCTAACAATCATACCCTATTGAATCTGTTCGAATTGGTGTTTTAGTCTATCACTGTAACTTAAATAGAATTAAGTTAGGTTAGTTTAGGCAGAAATAAGCCTAAACTTAAGACATTCTCAATATTCCAAATTTCATGAAAACACAGCCTTTGTAAGTTACCTGTAATATTATAACATTTAGGTTATCTAGGGAGGTGGCTTATTTGATTCATTGAAATAACTTATTTAGTTTTACTTAAATTAATACAAACGATGGTTATCACAAAAAGGTTAATCACATGCAATGATTAGACAAATCTATCACAAAAACATTCCTTCGGTATCAACTAGGATATAACAATTCAAAATTCGAACTTACAAGCTGCAGAATTCAACTCATTGTAGAGGATCCTGGACGTGCTGAACATTTCAAGTGTGACATTTGTGATGACTTCTACTATATCCTTTCAAACTCACGAAAAACTAATCACAAAGCATTAGAAACACAATTAATAACTCAAAATAGATTTAAACACAATATTACTAAAAGTACCTAAATTCATAACAGCAGTGAAATTCTTGTCCGTCAGTTTTAGTTAACAGTGCAGTGCAGTGCAGACAGAAGAGAAAACAAAATACGGCAAGACGTCAGACGACACGATGTTCAGGGTGACCACACTTAAAACGAAAAACGTCTTGTTACATGCTAGATGTCCATATAATCATATATGTATATAGTCCCACTCATTGTTACTAAGAATAGTACTTAATGAGAACTTGATTCAGCACAAAACCATCATCATCAATCCTCATTGATCATGCTGTTTTGTGTATCATGATCAATGGTTAGTAAATTGCAGTATGTAAAATATAGAGCATACATTTTACATATACATTTTCATTTTACATATGCGTACAGACTATAGAATACTGTAATTTTACTCTATAGTCTATGATACTACTTTTTAGCGAATTTCCCTATAGGGAAGTAGTTATTACCGTAGGTGGCACGGTAAGACCTAGACCCGGGACCGATTTACTTTTTCATTTTGATGTCCCCAGAGGCCAAAAACACTATTCGTTCAAATTTTTATATATGTATATATATATATAGACTTATATATATATATATATATATATATATATATACGTCCGTGAACGCGATAACTTGAGTAATTTTTGTCCGATTTTGATGAAATTTGGTTTAAAGGTGTAAAGCGGGATAAACTTGAATGAGTTCGCGAACCAGCACGATCGGACCATGGGAACGGGGCTTTACGGGGGGTTTTATGGGGTAAAAATTGGTTTTTCTCACTTTTGCCCCTCAAAACACAAAATTTCCCAATTTCTGTTTAGACCTTTTTAAAGAGCTTAAAAAAACAAATAATTTAGTATACAAAAGTATTTTTGTTCAATTATTAGTAACGGAGAAAATTTAAAAAAATTGTAAATTTAAAATTCCCATGTTATTCTTATGGAGAATATTGTCAAATGTTGTAGTTTGCTTGTTTATGAATATATTTTGATCAAACTTGTCAAATTTATTTATTTTGTACTAAGCTATCAATATTTTACTCAAAAACACACTTTATTTGTTTCCTTGTAGCAGCAAACCTAGGTACTCGTTAAACCTAATGTTATTAAAATATAATTTAACTGAAAATCAATTCAGACAAATGGAAATTCGCTTAGTCGGCAGGTTTGCTGCGGCGGGGGTATTTCATTTTAGTCTAATCCCTCTACTGAAAACATTTCATCCTGTGGCCCTGAACTCCGAAGTTTACTAATAAGCTACACCATAGATACAGTAAGGACTATGTTTTATCCCACGCCCTGCAGTTTTACTGGGACTCGACTACGACTACAGTACAAGGGCCACAGCATACTACGACTACAATCAATTACCTGCAATACTACTATATAACCTCGGGAGCCCGGGATTGCTCTTTACATTACCTACTTCAGGCAGAGGCAAGACCTAGGGGTAGCGGCATTAACACTTAGAAAAATCCATTGGTAATTTGGCAGGATTTGAACCCGGGCCAACCGTCCCACACTCTACCACTAGACCAGCTCACTCCCAAACCTATATTGAGCACTATATACACGAAAGCAAGTTATAACTCCATTGTACCTGATATAATATTGTGATCGTACACGTAAAACCTCAGGAGCTGACAACGTGGCTACGAGCATTGAATATATAACAATCATATAATATATTATTATAACATATAATATAGTGTTATATTATAACACTAAACAATTGAAACCTATTCACATGTGCGATGTAAAGAAAACAACTGTCCCTTCTCTTCGTTTAGCCTATGTCTCTGCGGAAGGCTGGATGATTTGGTAGCGGAATTTTACATGGAGTAGTACCATAGATAAAACGTTGGTTAGTCTTAGGTATGGTCTTTGGTGTCCAGGGATGAGGTCCCAAGGAATCTTACCCCCTGGGCAAAACTGACGTTACAGCCTAGGGGGTAAAATTCCGGCCGCGAACTTTCAAATTACTCAAAATGAGTTGAATAAATGTGGAATTCAATTAAATGTATCTTATTACTGTTGTGATTTAATCATAATAAATCTTCTATTATCTATCTATATATTAATAGGCAAGCATGTTTCTTTAAAACCTTTTTTCTCAGCTCGTGTGCATCGCAGGGGAAATCTACGCATACTGTTGGAAAGATATTTTCCTGTAGATGTGCAGAATGCTTTTAAAAATTAAAATAGGCTAACAAATAAGAACAAAAAATGAATTTGAAAACTTCAAAAAATTAACATGGACCATATGGGTTGCCATGATGGTGACGAAATAACAACAAAATGTAAACAGAAAATCAAAACAAATGGAAGAAATTCCAATCACATGTTTTATTTACAGTGTGGGGAGAAAATAGTGAAGTCTGTACATTAATTATTTTTGGTCGAGTTTCGACCACAGGACGACCACTAGTACTTATTTAATACGCAAGCAGGATTTTTGTGACAATTACTCCTCCGAAACTACTGAACCAATTGACATGTTTTTGGTGTCATTGGAAAGAGCGTAACGTGAAGTTGTGCAGGAAACTTTCTTTTTAAGGAAATAATTAGAGAGTGAGGCCCTGGGGCCCTTTAAAGTTTCATATTTATCCATAAGATTAACATGGGAAACAAAATTTGTTATGGAACTCCAGCTGTTGTGAGAAATTAAGATCGAAATATTTATTGATGGTATCCATGGTAACAAAGAACAAACCCACAAAATTAAAACATGTAAACAAGCAGAACTAACTGTCAAATTAATTTTGATTTCACAATTCCACACAGCTGGTTCAAACATATTAAATACTGCATGATTATTAGAACAGGAACGGTAGGGATCATAAACATTAATCAAATATGTCACTCACCCGAATAATTTTTGTCTATGCACGAATGTAAACATTTAACATTGATTAAATGGAACTGTCAAACTATATGTTAATGTCATTAGTATGGAATTCTTTCAACATTATTTGTTGATCGAGATTGTTTCAATATTTTTGAACTGCTGTAGTAATATTTTACAGGAAATAATTGTTAGATAAATTCATGGATATAAGTAATACCTAATTCAGATTCTTCAATCTTTGCTGTTATTATGTATCCGCAGCAAACCTTCAGACTAAGCGAATTTCCATTTACCTGGCTTAATTAATACAAAGATTAATTATTCCCTTAAAATGGTCATTTTTCCTACTTAAATAACATTAAGTTAATTTTAATATGAGTACTTAGGTTTGCTGCTACAGGGCAGGTAGGTGTGTTTTTGTTGAAATGTTGATAGCTAAGTATGATTGTTATTGGTTTGCAAATCCTGTATTAAGGCGCGTTTACATTAAATCGAGCTCGCATTCGAGTTAATGGAATGCGATAGCGAACGAGTTACTATTCCAGTATCGAATGACGAATCGAATTCCAGCAGCGTTTACATTGTATTTGTTACTGGAATAATAGTAGCAGTTGCGAGTGATGTAGTTGTAAGGCGAAAGTTAAGTATTCATAATCAACGATCACACTGGTCTTAAGTGATCGCTGTGTGATAAGTTTATTTTCAGTACGTATGTATAATGAGTGAACATATTCAAGAACTGTGTAGGGATGTATAATATGTTTGTATAAGTATATATATAGTGTGTTTAAGTAGTATGAGTGAAATTATTCAAGGTATATTGGTGATCTGTGGGGAAAAATAAATTCAACAAAAAAAAGAAATTAACATACATCATTAACTTAGCCATCACTTATATGAGTAGTAAATACAAAATCTATAAACAAACAGAAACATCACTTTTTCACCACACCTACGTTCTCACAACTGGTTTTACAGAGATATCGTATTCGAGCGTGCGAGCATTTCCCAACATGTTGGAAAGTAACTCGAACGGCAAAATATCATTCGTGCTCGCATTCCACTACTAGCATGCGAGTAAATTTGCAGTTGATATTTGTTCGAGCACGAATGCGAGCAGAACTGGAATGCGAGCTCGAATTAATGTAAACTCGCCTTTTACAATTGCTCGAATTCGAGCAACATGTACACTAGTACTTATTTAATACGCAAGCAGGTTTTTTGTGACAATTACTCCTCCGAAACTACTGAACCTTAGCATGACGGTTCAGCAAGCTTAGCTGCTGTCTCCTGACAGCAAGCTTAGCTGGCGGGATCAGATCTTCCGCACAGCGGACAAGGCCGCTAGGGTGGTTTCTTCTCTTAGCCGGTTGATGGCCAATGTCGGAGGGCCTCGGTCCAGTCGTAGAAGGCTGTTAATGTCTTCGGTCCAGTCCGTACTCTTGTACGGTGCGGAGGTGTGGGCAGACGCACTAAATAAGGAGGCATACAGGATGCGGCTCGCCCGAGTGCAGCGTCAGGCAGCACTGAGGGTAGCATCTGCCTACCGAACAGTGTCCGAGCCCGCCGTCCTGGTGATTGCTGGAGTCATCCCCGTCAAACTTTTGGCGGCGGAGAGAAAGGCAATTTACCGGCGCCGTGGGGAGGACGAGGCACGAACAGAGGAACGCACCCGCACCTACCAGCTGTGGCAGGAGGGCTGGGAACAGGAGACACGGGGACTCTGGACCAGGCGACTGATACAGCAAGTCCAACCTTGGGTTGATCGGCGGTACGGAGAGGTGGACTTCTACCTCACCCAATTTCTGACGGGACACGGCTTTTTCCGGTCGTACCTGTTCAGGATGGGCAAAGCCGTGTCACCCGACTGCATATACTGCCCAGGCATTCTCGATGACGTGGAACACACATTTTTCCACTGCCAGCGCTGGGAAAGGCCCCGCCTGGTGGCTCAACAATTAATAGGACTGCTGTTGGTGGACACGGTCATACCGATTATGACGGAGGGTGAGGACAATTGGACCTGTGTGTCACATTATATTCAGGGTATTCTCCGCGCCAAGAAGATCGACCTTGACCGGGATGCGGTTGTAGGTCATTAAGAATCGAAATGCCAGAAACGGTGCGAGCCCTGAGGGCTTAGGTCACATGTTGGCCTGACTTGAAGTAATGTGACAAACAATTCCAGGTCTGTGTCCAACAGAGTAGAGGGGGTTTTTTAGTGAGTAGTCTGACAATTTTCAGGAGTCTCACACTACAGGCTGGCTACCTCTGTGCGTAAAAGCATTTTCCCTCCTCTCCCTAAAAAAAAAAGTCGACCAGTTGGTGTGAACAGAGTTGAACAGTAGCATGAGCATCGATTTACAAATTCCTTTCCCAGCTGATGTGAGCTAGGCGATGATGACCGGTAGGGCTGACTTCCAAGAGACATCGTTAACCTATAAGCCACACACACCCAATCGGTAATCAGCCAATGAGAAGGGCTAATGAAGAAGATGGAGGGGTCAGGAGTCTTGGAGCTGGAGGACCTGGAGAGGACAATCGAGGAGATCACCACGGGCCACGGGACCAAGAAGATCAGGAGTTTCGGAGTGCGTGTATCGGTGCGTGTGCTTCTGGGACAATAAACAGTATGTAAAAAGAATAAAATACATAACTAAATTTTTGTAAAACAAACAAGTCATGTAATTTGTCAGTAACAAATTCTTTTATATTTTCAATTGATTTTCTTTTCTTGTAAATTTAACGTTGTAAATTAACTTATCTTATTATTGTTGATTTTTGCCTTTTCAAAGTTTTCTTTTGCTGTTGTAACACTTTGAAAATTTTGTAGTTTTTTCTAAATTTAAATTTTTGTTCATTACACGTTGAGTAACGCCCTTAAGCAGTCTTATGTCTCATTAACCTAACACCTCTTGACTAAGCTAAGCGAGTGAAATATTTTAGGAAACTTAAATTTAAAGTGAGGTATGGGACTCGCAATAGATTAGTATGTGATCCTGGGCAACAACGTCATTTTAATATGTTAATGATCCATACCGGGTCTTAGTCTAGTATTCGTGCTATTCTCATAATATTAAACCTTTGAATCTCTCGGGAGCAGAATCTGTACCGGTACCTCTTGCGGTGACACACTATCGATCTTTTCCCCGATCAAGACCCCGAACCGAGCAGGGAGAAGGGAGAAGGGAGATAAATATCAGCAAAATTTTACTCCGAACATTTCCCCGAACATGACCAAGACCAGACGAATTCTACCGAGCGCGGCAAAAGGAAGTTTGGAGAGAGATAGAGAGTGTGTGCGAGTGAGAGCGCGGAGGCAGTGCCGTTTTCTATTGGTTTTATTCATTGAAATAACGTTACAGAATGATCATTTTAATTGCCTTTAATAATATTAATGTTTATATTATTTTTGAAAGAATTTCAACATCAATTACTTAATTCAACCTTAATATTATTGGTATAATTGATTTAACGGTTTCTACACTTTGAACCTTGACCAAACAAACCACAAACATTACATCTTAAATGATTATAATATATAACGGCAACATGTTACCCAACATTTATTTATTTTACCAATTAAAGAGTTTAATTGCCATATTAAATCAGAACTATCAATGCTAGCGCAGGCGGCCGCTCGGTGCGGCGCTCGCGACGATGTACGGGGCAAAAATGTACCGTGACACACTATCGTACATCGGACCGTACATCGGACCGATCTTTTCTTTGATCTTTCGCCAAAAAACCGCCTCCAGAGCGCTCGTCTCCCTGCTCGGCCTGATGTCTTGTTCGTCGTCTTGATCGGTGTACGGACCCGTGACACACTATCGAACATCCTCCCTTCGACCTCCCTTCTCCCTTCTCCCTGCTCGGTTCGGGGTCTTGTTCGGGGAAAAGATCGATAGTGTGTCACCGTCTTTAACCTCTGCTCTTTGAACAAACTGTCAAAATCAACGTATTTACAGCTGACTTCAATTGTGTATTTTAAATCTTCCAAAATGTAAACATTGAAAATTTAGAAGCCTATGGGGCGTAGCCCAAGGGAAATATGAAATAAAATGATTTAATATTGAATTGTCATCCATTTGTGAGCTAAGTTTCAAGTCTCTAGCACATCGGGAAGTTAGTTTAAAATCTATTGCAAAATTTGTACCGAACAGACAAGAAAGAGAGCTAATAAAAACGTTTTAAAATAATAGGATTCGGACCAGCAATGTCATTTGTTTATGTTTATTATCCATACCGGTTCTGTTTAAGTATTCGAGGGTCATATGTTAACAATCGAGAAGGTATTTGAGCGTAATATTCTATTTAGTCTTCACTACTTCTGTCCAGTCCAGCTGTGTACATTAATTATTGGAATTTTCCAATCCCTAAAAAATTAATGATTTGACGTCACCCGTAAGCTTTGCAAGGAATAGTACATTTTTTAGCAATAGAGTAACTTGAAGAATTAATATGGCGCTGTATTCACTTTTCCACCCAAAGTCGTCTGCTAAAAATGTCCATGTTATTACTAAACCATTTATTAATTTAATTATTGTAAAAGCTATTCTCTATTATGACAACTATGCTATTCTAACCCTACACAGAAAGGAAGAAGATTTACTAAGTTTTTTTAAGATTAGTCGTCTGTGAAAAGAACTGAGGAGGAGTGCAGCGAGATAATTAGTGTTTCAATTGCAGCAACACCCAAGCAATCATAGAGATAACATCGTTACCTATTACATATAGGTCTCTCTGCTTTCCACTACTGATTTTGAAACACTCTCGACCTCTATTGCATAGTTTAGGTTCCATCAAATAATTGCCTGGTGCTGATGCAACTGATATAGTGCGACCAAAGAACTCTGTATATGACTCTCAAGGTTACCAATGAAGCCTATTTCTTATGGTGTACCGAATACCGTACAGTTTTACACCATGATTGCTGAGAGAAATCTACTTAGACACGATATACTTTACTATGTTCTGTCACTTGTTAATCAGTTAGTTAATTTTTTAGTTTACTATAGGACTAAATAAATATCAAATCCGAGAAATAATCAAATTTATGATTTTTTATTGAGTAACGCAGTGACCAATAGCTCAAATTAAAGCCTATAATTTACTGATTATTTTGAGTCTAAAACATAAAACCATAAACAATACTGGAGCTGTTGATATTGTAATCATAGAAACCCCTTATAATAAAAATAATGTTTATGTTGGTTGTTCACCTTGCGTTTGCTTGAAACTCGTCCGATTTGAATAGCTAATAGCTTAAATGAAAGCCGGTATTTCACTGAAGGTTCTTGTACCAAAATATATAAGATTATATAATTATAACTGGTGAAATTCAAATGAAGTAAGAATTCGAAAATAAATCAAATTTATGTCTCTTGGTCGAGTAGTAGATAAATATATGCCAAAATGCTTGAAGTGAAATCTGTGCGTGCATGCCTTTAATTTGAGACCTCAATCTTGAAAATCGGTCGGGTAGAAGAAGAGCCAAACGAACTCTGGAAAAAAATCAAATTTAATTAACTCCCATAAGAAATACATGGGGAACAAATTTCGTTTACGTATAAGCCGAGTGGGACTGTAGATAAATATATGCCGATGTTTGATGTGTAATCTGTGCGTGCATACCTTCAATTTGAGACCTCAATCATGGAAATCGGTCGGGTAGAAGAGCCTAACGAACTCGGAAAAACCCAATTTTTAAATATATAAGATTATATCCCCTAGGAATTATTTTGACGGTTAAATAGATAAATTACAAGACCGGTAGTTCCCAATTCTTATGTGTTATCTCGAGTACAAGCTAAGTATGGGAAAATAAGAAATATTTACATACTATAATATTTGAACTCCAAAACTTACATTGACATGAAATCGCCAAAGCCACGATTGAAAAAAAAAACTAATATTGTAAAGGTGTTGAATCCTTTTAATATTTATTGCGAGTTTTTGTATTCAGCTGCTTAAATTCTTGTGAGAGAAAGTATTCATTCATGGTGTATATTTATGTCTTCACGTTTGTTTGAAATATGTATGCTTTATTCCTTCGTAACTTCTTCCTCCTCCTTGACCCTCAGTTTCTGGCAAAGATCCACGTCATGCTTGGATGTCTGTCTACATACCGACGTGACCGTGGAAGTTCTGGCCCTATGTTATGGATCGACCAGTCCAACAAATTGCCAAAGTCATGTCAATGTTAGCTCGTAATTTCTGAACAGAAGAATCAAGGAATCCTCGATCTACGTTCTATTTCTTGGCCAGAGAAAACGCCTAGGCCCTTTAGGCCACTCGGCAATCGATAAGATTTTACGACCTATCGCAATAATAATCAAGGTAATCTAGAATTGCGAAGTATTTTTAAGCTTATATCTCAGGTTGCAGCATTTTAGGAACAGCTTTTCTCAGTTCTTTAACATTTTATGCACGCTTAAATAGTTATCAGTGAAGATTTAGACGATCAATGCCAACCAGGGATATGTCAAACTTTGGAGTGGGATTATGAGTGTAGCAGAAGAATAGTTGGTACGGCAGCTGAATCTTTAGCCGTAATCTCTTTTAAGGCCAATGGCCAATTAAGAACAGCTAGGCCCAGGTGGCCCAGTCAGTACGTTGAACTTACTACGTCCAACTCATTTTTTAAATATGCGTAATATATGCTGATTAAATTAATCTGTTTTTTTTATCAAGACCATTTTTTTATTAACAGCGCAATGCTTACTGTCCAGTTATGATCGTTTGGTCAAGTTACAAACCGTCAGAAAGCTACTGGCTTGGGGCTCCTGATAAATGTTAGTAGGCTTTTGATGAATCCATGATAAGAGTGATTGATTTTATTCTCCTTGTATTGTCACTGACTAAGATCAGCTGTTGAAAAAGGGCCATTTTAAAAGTCAATAAAACCCCAAAACAGCTACTGTACGTCCAGGTTATTTTGAACCTTCAATAAGATAGTGAATTTCCTTGGGATCGTACCAATTACATAAGGTGTCTTCCAAAATTCATCCCTCAAAGATTTCATATTCTCCGAAGACCTCAGTTAACCTCAGATAATCAATCCGTTCTACAATTAGCCTACCTTGCATTCTAACTCAGCTTTAATGTACCTAAGTGCGCTTTTAAGTGACTTTTCTCATTATCTTTCGACATTTTTTCCACACCCTTATCCAAACTTTATGCAGCACCAGTAACATTCAAACGCGCTGAACATAATTACCTAAATTTCATCAACGTCTTAAATGGTAGTTTTGGTTAACCATTATTTTTCGTATCCTCGACGGCCTTCCGCTGGCGAAAGAGTCCTTGGTGTCCTGTCAGGAAGCAAGGATTGCGGAGGGCCGAAGACTGGTGTATGTGTGTGTGTGTTTGTGTAGGTGCGCATGTGTGTTGGTGAGTCCTTGGAGATGGCGGGGGTTTCCAGAGGCACCTCTGCGCTGCTTCAGGCGCGGCAACCATTCAGTTAGTTTCGCCTTTCTCTTCAGTTACAAGGTATGTAATCTCTGATTTATATTTGGTATTGTAACGGTTGGTAACATTTTCTGGTTCACAGGTGTAGATAAATTGGTTGCATGAATATGCTTTAAAGCTACGTTTACTAAGCTTATGGTACCATCAGAGTTCATCCTTTGTTGCATAATCTAATATTTTTACAGTGTTTAACTTTTACGATGGGGCCCGTGCGCAAATTGCGCATCTTCATAGGGTTTTAAACTTACTAGAGGTCGTCCAGTGGTCGAAAACTCGACCAAAAATAATTATGAAATGTACAGACTTCTCTATTTTTACTCCAATCTGTAAATAAAACATGTGATTGGCAATTCTATTTGTTTTGATTTTCTGTTTATATTTCGTTGTTATTTTGTCACCAGCATGGCGACCCACATGACTCATGTTATTTTTGTAATTTAAAATTTATTTTTGTGCTCATTTTTTGCCTATTTCAATTCATAAAGGGATTTTGCACACCTACGGAAAAATGTCTTTATAACAGTATGCAGGTTTTCCCTGCTATGCACAGGAGCTGAGAAAAAAGGTTTTACAGAAACATGTTTGCCTATTAATATATAGATTTCCGATGCAAAATGAATAATGTAATACCCTTATACCAAAGATTATTTGTGTTTAAGTCAGTTAGTTGTTAGGTGAATAAACAAAATAACTTACAATAAATTAAATTTGTCGATCCTAGACTCACACCATAAATAAAGAAAAGTAACTTTTTACCTACCTCAATCAGGTTGCCATTATCATAAATTTAGCCTATTTATACTTTTTCTGTTTCCCATAACTTTTTTGTCTCTTCTTAACAATCTGACTTTGATTAAACCTTTAAATTAGAGATCAGCTGTTAGATTGCAGTTCACAGCCGTTATAAAGAAAGTTTGTCAGCAACACCGGGACTTTGAAAATAAACTCTAAAAACAAGAGAAAATGAAACTCTTGCAATGCAAGAGGGCAAAGGCCTAGAGAAATTACCTTTTTCGTTACCATAACCATTTTTTAATGACAAGTTGCCATTTTTTACCATTCTTTTTTAAGTTGTACCATTTTTCGTCACTCCGCTAGATCATAGGTTTTAAAATGACACCGACATCGTGAAAATTGGTTCTTTATTACCATTATGAATACAACTACTATTTACAATGAAATAAATTGTTTAAACCTCAATCAGGTTACAACAATCAAAAAGTTACCTATTTAAAATCCAATAGTTTGTGTAGTATACAATCTGACTGTGGTTAAACATTTAAATGAGCGATCAGCTGTTGAATGATCATTCTCATTTCGCAGAGGATACGCGTCCCCGGACGTGGATTAGGCGTCCGGCAGTTACTGTCATAACCTAACCTAACCAACCAAACTTGCTGATAATTAAAAAATCAAATGAAGGTTCAAATGTCTTCATAACATAAAATTATAAATGCCAAAAATTCTAACAAAAGATGTACAGTTAAGAAGAAATTACATTCAAAGCAAAATCTGTGACAAAAAGTTAAAGAATCCGATTGGAACCAGGGACAAAGGATATCAGCCGAGCACTCTATCCACTACACCACGAACAACGCTGACCGAACAACGTATCGTTGTGGTAATGGCGTTCCGGGACCCCACAACCCGGTGACGTCACTACCGGACGCCTAATCCACGTCTGGTTACCGGACGCGTATCCTCTGTGTTCTCATTTAGACCGTTCAGGCTCAGTATCATTGAATCTAAGAATGCGGACTCCAGAAATAAATCAAACGGTAAGGTGATGGAGCAATAAAGGATATTCCTATTTATAAACTCATAATTGAATTCCTAATCGTCACTCCGCTAGAGCAACGATTGAGGAATCGTGGCGAAAAAAGGGATGTTAGGCTACGGTGAAACCCCTCATTGCATTTGAAGAATATAATAGATAGATGATAGGTAAATTTAGCTTTTTTCATTTTTATAAGCTGTTTTTAGCGAATTTCCCTATAGGGAAGTAGCTATTACCGTAGGTCTCATGGTAAGACCTAAGCCCGGGACCGATTTACTTTTTCATTTTGATGTCCCCAGAGGCCAAAAACACCATTCGTTCAAATTTTTATATATCTATCTATATATATATATGTATATATATATATATATGTGTCCATCCGCACGATAACTTGAGTAATTTTTGTCCGATTTTGATAAAATTTGGATTGAAGGTGTAAGGCGGGATAAACTTGAATGAGTTCGCGAACCAGCATGATCGGACTATGGGAACGGGGGTTTATGGGGGGTTTTATGGGGTGAAAATAGGTTTTTCCCATTTTTGACCCTAAAAACACAAAATTTCACAATTTCTTTTTAAACCATTTTGTAGAGCTTAAAAAAACGAATAATTTAGTATATTGAAGCGTTATTATGCGCCTAATTGTTACGGAGAAAATTTAAAAAAATTGTAATTTTAAAATTCCCTTGTTATTCTTATGGAGAATAAGTCAACTGTTGTAGTTTGCTTGTTTATGAACATATTTTGATCAAATTTGGAAAATACATTAATTTCTTACTAAACCACAGTACCTTTTAATATTTTACATAAAAAAAACTTGTTTACCCTCCCTGTTGCAGCAAACCTAAGTACTCATTAAACTAATTCTGTTTAAATAGGGAATAAATGTGATATTTTTAAGGAGACATTTTAGTTTAAATCCAATCAGGCAGATGGAAATTCGCTAAGTCTGCAGGTTTGCTGCGGCGGGGGTATTGTATGTTTTGTTTCAGTTCTTACATTGGTTTACTATCTCATATATATATTAAAATTATTGGGTCTTCTTTTCCGAATAGTTTCTGCTCTTCTACCCGGCCAATTTTCATAATTTTGGTCTTAAATGAAAGGTATGCACGCACAGATTTGCTATCAAGCATTATCATTCATTTATCTACTGTTTTACTTGACAAAAAAACTTAAATTAGATTTTTTCTAATCTAATTCTCACTTCAATTAAAGATGCATTTCACCATGTTCTTTTTACATCATCCTATATGTTCTGGTCTAAGAACATTCAGTGAAATACTAGATCGGACGTATCTGAAGCACGCTACTGAATCACGAATCAACAATAGTTATTATAATTATTTTAGGACTTATCTGCAATCAATGATACGTAACTCAATTTTTATTTTAGTTATTTTGTATATCTTAAAATACTCCTAGAATAAAGGCTTTTACTTGAGATATTGATCGTTTGAATCAGTTAAGTTCAATATACTGTTCTACTCAATCAAAAATCGTAAATTTGATTATTTCTCGGATATGGAATATGATTTTAGATATATTTAATCAATTTTATTTACGTTATCCCAAATGTTTTTACCTAAGAACAACCTTCAGTGAATTATCGGTTTTCTTGAATTATTGATTATTAAGATCGGATTTACCTAAAGCACGCTGCTGAATCACGAACAACTCAAATTGTAAAAAACGGAGTTATTTATCGTCGATTTGTATAGTTAATTTGCTTGAAACCTCAACAGTCAACAGTAACCGTCGACTTCGACGGGTTTTACCTAGTCGTTGATAATATTGTTACGCCTATGCATCCAATCAACTTAATTATTTTATAACTTTAAGACGAAGTCACTTGATGTTATTAACAAATATGCATGTTTAAAATAAAGAAAATATTTAATTCAATTTATTTAATTAAGTTATTTAAATTTATCTCTTAAAGGGTGAAGTTTCGGTACAATGAAAATGTAAAAATCAGAATCATAAAAGATGTTCATTTTCTGCACGTTGCAAAGCCTAGTCACAAAAGAAACAAATTTAAGCAATTGAGTAACTATTGCCTATGGAGTATTCTGTACTCTGTACATTAATCCAAAACGATTAAGCAGCTCCTCTTTAGATAAGTTGTTTTCACTAAGATGTCAACAAAGTGATTAACAGATTTTTTCATACACTCAAGTAATTATGATAATGTAATGAATGCTAACTGCAATACTTCTTTTTCGTGGCTATCCTAGGTAGTAATTACTAATTAGACTTTGGAAAGATAACTTTTAGTTTTTTTTCGTACTCTGGTTCACAAATTAATTTATATCCTACTACCTAATAAGTGAGAATGATTGGATGTATGGATGGATGTTTGTAAGAAGTAAACGCGAAAAATGCTGGTCGGATTGAGCTGAAATTTGGTGTGATTATAGCTCACATTCCCGATTAACATATCCTTACTTCTCCGTGGTCTTTAGCTGGGAACATTTTAAACCCCAATGATCAATAGCAGTCCTAAACTGAATTATCTTAGACGATGTTTGTATCATTAATGTACACAACGTAAGCAAGAGTTGGTGTTTCCATGCTGCCTCACAGGCGACGAAACGCCATTATGTTTAATTCATACCCTCAAATTAGAGGCCGGACGTACATTAAACACAGAGTGATCGTATATTAGTCCTGGTTCTGTGAAATATTACAAGTGAAACATACACTTAAAAGTCCTTCGTTCCAACTGAAGATTTGTGCAGTCTCAATTATCCTGAACTAAATAACTCCAGAAGATTCGACGTTATCAGTCAAGTAAAAAAATACAACCATTGACTTTGGATTATGTAATTAGACATCTAATTTCCTATCAAGCGGCTAAGATGTTATAACAATTGAAATAGTTTTAAAATGTAAAAAATTGGTAATCTATATACTAAATACAGTAAGAGTTGCCTCTGTTAGGCCTACATCCCTTTTCAGCCGTCCTGCTTAACCAATTTTTACGATTGAGGTGTCATTTTAAAACTTATGATAAAGCACACCTCTTTACTTATAATCATTACTTTCCTGTATACCTAATTGTGCTCGTCGGTATATGGAAAACCATTAGTAAAATCTCTAACTACTGTAAATTTGGCTATCATAAATTAGACAGCGATTGCGAAAATTTAGGTTAGAAAGTTGAGTGCCTTAATTACAGTAATTGATAGGGGTGCCGCCTTTATGTCCCCCTTATACCATGATGAGGGAACTTAGTGGGTCT